ATTAATTGTGCTCATCTTTCCTCTTGGTCAGTTTGATGACTTCTGATGAAATCTTATTTCAGAAACTAGATACAAAGTTAATTTAGATTTTATCTGGAACAATGGGAGGCATATTGGTAAAAGAATTACATTTCATGGCTGAAATCTTTTTCATGGTTCAGCAACTGAAGCCCAGGTGGCCATATCAAATTAAGCATTAAGTCTTGAACCAAATCAAGAAAGGATTTGTCATTTAATTACAAAAATAAAGTAAAACTTTTGAAGTCTCATATACTAATAATTAGGAAATAGTAGTTATTACTCAGTGTTCTCCAGAGAAACAGACCAATAGATATAGATAGAGAGAGAGATATCTATATCTTTGAACATATTTATAGAGATTTAAACATAGATATATTGATCTAAATCTTTGGAGATTATATCATATATATTCATATATATATGTAGCTCCTGTATATACAGAGAGATCTCTCTCTCTATATATAGGCAGGTAGGTAGGTAGATAGGTAGGTAGGTAGATAGATAGATAGATAGATAATAAGAGAATAATTTATTTTAAGGAATTGGTGAGATGATTCTGAATTATTCCATGGCAGTTGAAATAAGGTTAACTAAAACAATGCACACAAATCTATAAAGCTAAACAGGAAACACACTGGTGAACTCTTGCTGTAATCCAGCATTTTCAATTTTGCTTCCAGATGGGGATAGTTAACTTACACACAATGTGCTTACTGTTCTACGATGAAGGTGGTCAGTAACGAGGTGTTTTCAATTTAATGTAATCACTCAGTTCCATCTCTGTCACTTCATCTACAGATTAAGCAAGTTATGTAAATTATTTCAGGATAACCTCCCCCCGACGAGTCCAGATTCTAAGTAAATTATGAGTTGGGCATGTGAGAATATTAATAAATGTGGATCTATGACTCCTGGCATTATTGCTGAACCTCAATATTGCGTTGATGCTCTTTACTAAATGCATCAACACTTTGTTACCGATAAACTGTGGGAAAGCTAGTAAACATTTTTCAGATTTAGGACTATCAGTTTAACTAACAAAAGGTTATTCAGATTGCTACTTTAAATAAGAAGAAAATTATATACCACCTAAAAAGATACTTAAAATGTCTTTCTACCACGGCAAAGTAGCGGAAGAAGGGAATAGTGTGTGGTATATGTCATGGAGTTAGTGGCTTTTATCTTAGTTCTCATCCATGTGGTAGGCACTATTAGTCGCTTTCTACAAATGAGGAAAATTAGGCTCAGCGAGGTTCTTGCTCAAGGTCACCCTGGTCACCAGAAAGCAGCAGACCCCCTTCCCGGCCTGAACTCTCTCCACTACCAACATGACTAAAACACAGAAGGAATTAAGATGCCTGCTCTTGCATCTCTTATATAAGAAAGGTGATTTACTCCCACCTTACCTTGCTCTCATCTCCTTTCTCCTCATTGGAAGGGCGAAGGTCTTCCCCCATGAGTGAGGCAAGCGCAGCAGTTGGACTGTTTTCATTATACTTTCACTACTTTGCAGTTTGTCTTTGGCAAGATCAAATCTAAACTTGCTCCTCACTTTAACTTGTTGTTTTCCTAGATTACCGTAAGAATAGACTAGGAACCACAGTGAGCGCCTCTGTCATGGAAGAGGTAGAGACAGAGGTCAAGAGACCGAGTGGGAGGGAGCAAGGGACTCCCTGGGTGGGATTTCAAAGGCATCGATAAGTGTTTTTACTTATAAGAAAAAAACCCTGGGAGTCATTTCTTTTCCTGTTTTTCCTCTGGCCACCCCTTTGATAAAGCCTGTAAGCTGTAGTTTTTGATTACATAGGCACTCCGCTGGGGGGTGCTTATGCCGTCACCTAGTGCTCTCATGAAGACTAATCTGTATTTTGCAGTCATATGGCATGGCTAGATATTTATAAGACTGCATGTTCTACCCTTGAATCAAATTCATAAACTGAAAGGGTACTAGAGGTCATCTAGTCCAGGGGTCATCCAACATTTCTTTTTTGTAGTGCAAAAACTCTTCAAATGCTTACTTGCAAGCCCATAAACAAAACCATGAAGAGGTGCTGCTCTGATGAAGCTCCTAGGCTCCCTTCTTAGTCCTTAATATATTTCTTGGGAACCCCCATTTAAAAACTATTGATATTAGCCTACCATTTAATGCTCCGGTCCCTGACTTATTAGGGAGACAGATAATTACAACACAAGACCGTAAATTCAGTGACTCAAATGTACCTGAGATATTATGGGGGCGTGGAATGGGGGCTCCCTAATTCAGTCTGGGGGCATTGAGTCTGAGCCTGAGTCTCTAAGACTGAACAAAATAGCTAGGAGGGCAGTTAACCTGGCAAGGCATGGGGAAGAGTATAATCCAGACTGAAGAATGGGGTGGCTAAGTAGCTAAGGGTATATTCTGGAAGCTACAAGTTCTTTTATGTAGTAGATAGTTCAGTGGGAGCTGATAAAGAGAGCCTAAGCCTTGTCTTGATTCTTTAGGAAACAGGGAGCCACTGAAGGCCTTTAAATAGGGAAACGAGGTCAAATTTACGTTTCAGACTGCTAACAGGCACTATGAATTAGATGAGCACAGGGAGGTAGAAAGACAAGGCAGGAGAGCATAGCAGTAGCTCTCTGACGGAGAACATAAGAGCAGGAGCGAGTTTACGGGGAAAGAGATGCACTCATTCCAAGGTTCCAGGTAGAGAGGTCCAGCATGACTAGATGGATATCTCCAGTCTGAAGCCTTGGAGAATATACTACGATCCTATTTACATAGAAAGGAACTGGAGAGAGATGTAGGAAAAAGGTTAACTTTGCTTAACTCTTGACTTTTGGTTCTTATTTTCTCTATCCTTTTCTGTACACTGAGTATCTATTACTTTGATAACCAGGCAAAAAAAAGTTATTTTAGTTTTTAAATGGTTGATTTCTCTTCCAAACTTTGCTCTCCGTCAATTTTCTTTAACCAAATTGGCACCATACCATATATGGAATATTGTGCATTTTCACTACAAATTGTATTTGGGAACAATATTATGTGGCCATTACAATCATGCTTTCAAAAGAAATATGCAAATATTTACCAGTCTTCTTACCCCAACCTTCACAGTTGGGTCGTATGCAGATACACTAAGATAGAAAAGTCCCTCGGGGATAGACCAGTGTTCACAGCACGTCAAGTGCTTTCCTGAAAGGAGTAGTCACAGGCAGCTCAAATTTTCTCTGTCACTAGTGACGGTAGAACTAGTGCAAAGCCGAAACCCAGCCAGGGTCTCCTCAACGTCTGACTCGCAGGAGTGTGGTGAGGAGGTACAGGCTTTTCTGACATTGCCTGGGAATGACGAATCTTGCCTAGAAACAGTAAAGTTGGATGGTCTTTATTTGAACTTTCTTGCCACAACAAATAGATCATAATCTGTGACTAATATCATCTACCAAATTGATAGCTGACCTTAACAGAGCATACAGACTCAAAAGCCGTCTTTGAGCATTTGCTACTTGGCGATTTATTAGAGGAAAAGAACCATCACGCTTATTTCCACTGTGCTCAGAGCAACTTATAAATTTTATTACCTAGTATTACCAGCTTATCCTGATCCAAGAAAGCTCTGTAGGGTTATACACTGTGTTAACATGCCAATGGCTTGAATTTCTGGCAATTTGCAGCACTTCTCAGTTATCAAGAGGTAAATGAAATACTTGGATAAGGAGAGTCTGATTCAATGTCAAATTTTCTAGAGATCAATTTTCTCCAGTACTAGTTCAACATATTAACTTTAGATCTCTAAATTGTGGGTAGAGGTAGGTGTTGCGTCAGATTCTGCAGATTTCAAAAAAAGGCAGGTAGAATGACTGTCAAGAAAACATAAGCCTTAGCACCATATCAAGGTTTTAAAAACTTGATCTGTAGCTGAATAGGTTCATTTCCTAATGGAGAGAAACTGGCCAGTACTAGACTGTTCGGGAAACATATGCCAACTTGGAGATACCATAAAAGATGAAAATCTGAATAAGAATGTTATTTTTAAAAATCATTTATTAGATTTTTATGTGAAATCTTTTTGGTGAGGAAGATTAGCCTTGAGCTAACATCTGTTGCCAATCTTTTTTTTTTTTTTTTTTGCTGATGAAGATTAACCTTGAGCTAACATCTGTGCCAATCTCCCTCCACTTTATATGTGGGTCGTTGCCACAGCATGGTTGATGAGTGGTATAGGTTTGTGCTTGGGATCCACCCTGCAAACTCAGGCTACCAAAGCAGACTGTGCCAAACTTAACCACTATGCAACAGCTGGCCCCCAAATCTCCTGATTTTTAACTAAGAAATTCTAAGGAAGTGTAGAGAATGATACAAAATTAAATACGGGGTGGCCAGCCTGGCGGTACAGTGGTTAGGTTTGCACATCGCTTTGGTGGCCCAGGCTTCACTGGTCTGGGTCCCAGGTGTGGACCTATGTACTGCTTATTAAGCCACGCTGTAGCAGATGTCCCACATATAAAGTAGAGAAAGATGGGCATGGATGTTAGCTCAGGGCCAGTCTTCCTCAGCAAAAAAAGAGGATTGGTGGCAGATTTCAGCTCAGGGCTAATCTTCAAAAAAAACCCTCCAACAAACAAAACTAAATACAGGGAATCAGACCAAAATTACCTAAGAGTAAACTCCATTTCAAGTGGATGACAGACATGGACAATACAACCTGAAAAGATTAGTGTGGTGTTTCTCAAATGTGCCTGATCATAAAAATTACTCAAGGCACTTCTTACAAATAGAGTCTGAGACCCATTCTCTTTTGATTCTGGCTCAGTGGGTGGTAGGTTTGGATTGGGGACCAAGAACTTGTATTTTAAGTACCCGAAGTGGTTTTAATGATCAGGCAAGTTAGGGAAATAGTGGCTAAAGAGGAAAACAACAGCAGCACCACCACCACAGCTCCGGCTCTTCACTCACAGACTGCCCATCAAGCTACCAGAAAATGAGGAACACTCAACTGAAATTGAGGAATTGTCTATAGAACACTGTTTATTTCAAGTTCAAAACACAAAATTACTCATTTTTCTTAACAGACTGCATAATTTTTACTGCATGAATATTTAGAGTTTCTCTATTCACAAGTGTAGATTTATTTCTGAACTTTAGGCTCAAATGATTCATATATGTATCAGTTTACTACAGAGGACGTATACTTTAACAAATTTTAGAAAAAATTTTACATAAAAACACACAAAGTATTTACTAATACTCTTCAGTCTTTACAAGTCTTCAGCAAAGATGTGGCTGAAGTTCATCATTTTCTACAAAACATTCCAAGACTGAATATAATGTAGTATTTTACATACTTTAGCTTATTATTGCCATTAAAAGTTCCCCTTTCCTTGATGGTTTCTGCATACATTATACTCATAAAGTAGGAGAAGTTTTCTCTTTAACTGGTGACTTGTTAAGTGTCTTTTTTGGTGTAACTTGTCCCCAACCAAGAACCTAAATAGTCATGATGAAATCAAATAACTGACACAAATAGGACTTTTAGCAAGGGCCTTTTCAAACTAACAAGAAAAGAATTTAATACTATCAGTATAATATCCTTTATTGTTTTGTGTTCAGGAACTACAACCTTGAGTGCTATTACTTGTAGTATAATCAGTTGGCATCAAAATATAAAGTAAAAATACGTACATTTTTATATATCAATTCTTACCTGAATAATCTCAGATCTCTTGAGAATGTTCCACAAAGTGGAATTCTTCCTAAAGTTACAGTGAATGTGGTACAATGTGTACAACTTGGTTAACCAGTGCCTGCTTTTCATTTCCAAGATTTTTGCCTTATCTTGAATCAAATGCACAATCTTGACTACCATATCATAATGCACTGGCTTACAGTTTGTATATAAAGTCCAACTCAAGCTTATTTTGGTTTATTATACATGCTTTATTAAAACGGTACTGGTATTTACAGTATCTGCAGAGTCCCTTCCATGACGCTTGCACACACATTCAGACACACCCATACGACATCCATACTACGGCCCCATGCACCCACACCAGTGAGATGTGAGGGTCAGACTCAAAATTAGGCAGCTGTTGGGGGACAGAGTTGTTGATTTGTTTTTCAATTTTCTTGAAAAGAGAAAAGCATGGGAGAATGCATTTGGCCATTACAATGCTAATTAAGTTTGTGTATTATCAACATATATGGCAGTAACACTGAATATTCCTTTTACATTCTATATACACAGAATGACATCAAGGTTTTGCGGTCAACAGAATATTCCAACTTCAGTCTCAATGCTGCTTGTAGTGACTTCTGAATTCACATAGGGGCTTTCCCGAAAAATAATTCAAGTCTATGTAAGTGAAATAAGGCACAATTAATATTGATTTGATCTAGGGAAAGGGAAGGGATAAAAACTAGTTTCAAATAATCTTACTGTTGGGAAATTAGCTTTGACTTAAATTGACTTGAAATCCCTTCTCTTAATTTCCAAAGATTTCTTAGAAATAAAGGTTTTTTTTCCTCTTTTCCCTGACAAAACCCAAAAAGAAAAGTTTGGGAATTCACATTTTACTGTTTCAGTAGCTTCGACTACTCAAACGGACGTGCACCCCCACCTCTCGTCTCCTCCCTCCCTCAATGCCAAACAAAAACACAGCACGTGAAACAGGAATCCCTTGCTGTTCTTTGAGATTTGTACACTTGAGTAGCAAATACATATCTGGCTGTCTTTGATTTTAAACAAAAAAAAAAAGAGAAATAAAAGAAATAAGGGAAAAATAACCTCTTGACTTTCTTGCTCTTTAAAAAATCCCTGTCTCCTTCTTTCCAGGATGATGAAGCCCCACCAGACATTACTCACGACTGCAACAAATGAGTGTGGCAGCATAAATAATGTCTAGTATTCACATCTTCATAGCGAGACTCATTTAGCTTGTACAAATTTGTTGAATGTTTTTTGCAGCAGGTGAACCAAACCCAAAGACGCTGGACATTCTGTGAAAGGGAGTAAGAACTGCAGTTCTGAAGGCCCCTGACTTTGGTTGTTTACAAAGTTCAATCCTGTTTATTGTGATCCTTGGTATCTTCTTCATCTGTATATTCTGATGGTTCTTCCCCTGGTTTTAGGAGTCTGCCTACATAATCATATTTTTCTGAAAGATACATCAAAAGATAATCAGTAACGATCAAATTTGTTTCATTATCACATTATACAGCAAGGAAGGCATGTGCCTCTTTTAGAATAATGTAGAATAAGCTAAATTTTCCCTATTGCTCATCTTGGCTGGTCTTTGTACTCACGTAAAGCTTAAACAAAAGAAACATTAGGGAACTTACAAAGCTTGGGAACTGTGCTTTGCAGAAGAATGTTCCATATTACCAGGTCTTAATAAAGGACATTGCATCAGAATCACTTGGAGATCTTTTTAAAAAATATGCACGTCCAGGATCCATCTTGGAGCTGCCCATCCCAGGCTCTTGGGTTAGGTCTGGGGACACGTACTCTGAAACTGGTCTAACTCTAATGTGCATTGTGAGTCTCAGAATAGTTCTTTAAATCTTTATAGCTCCAAGTATTATAATTAAAGAAACAAGTTGGCAATGCAAGGCATTTCCAACAGTTATTTAAAATCTATAAATACATTGGCTTTTATATAGATCTGAGATGAAATAAGATGTAGGGTTAATAGTTGGTCTAGAGAAGACCATAAGAAAGGAAATGGTGACTTTCCCAGGGCTAAGGAAGAGGGCAGAAGAGTGCATGAAGTGGAAAATCACAGGGTAAGTAGATCCAACCAGGAAATATTCTTTGGGAGAAAATGTGACATATGCTACTAAGAAAGAAAATAAACCAAATGAGGAGATGAAAATTAATTTGTTACTCATTATCTTGTGTTCTTTGAGGTCTCAGTGTGCAGCCCCTGTCACACTATTATTCTTTCTCCTATCAAACTCTCTTCTTGGATCTCTGTTACACTGCTTGTTTTTAATGTTACCATGTGTTTAATTTAGAACATCACTATGTCCAAGGTGATACATATTTAGTCATTTCTTGGTTAGGAATTTGAACCTAGGTTAAGAGAATTAACTGACAAACCAAGAGGCTAAGATAGGAGGACTGCTTCACACAGTAGAATCAGTACAAGTGCCAAGAAGTCAGAAGAACCGTTCCAAGGGATCCAGAGGTCACAGAAATAGCTGCCCTGAGTGTAACACAGGCGGTAATAATTGATGTCATGAGAGTATAATAAAGGGGAATGACATTTTTTCTTTATGGTTCAAGGGTAGGATCAATAAAACCATTTTGGAATAAATCATAATTAAAGTACAATACCAGTAATCAATTCAGCTTTAAATATAGCCTATATTTTAAAAAAACTATACCTTAATGAAGAAGCCTTATAAAACTAAAGGTGTCAAAATTTTTGTTAGACTTATAGTTTGTAACAAGTCAATTGTTAAATATGGATTTTATAAATAATAATCACATATAACAATCATATTGCTATTTAGCTATGTTTATCATCAAATGATGGCGATGAAAGGAGGTGATATCCTTAGGCTCTTAAGGAATGTGAAATAGTATACACTTTCTTTGGTCATAAACTTAATACTTCCAAAGAACCCAACAAAATGAAGGTACCTTTAAATTGCATTTCCCATTCTCGAACACTCTCCATTTGTACGGCATTCAAATCTGAGAGATCATCATATTCATCTTTAAGTGCATCTTTATCTAGACAAAATGTCGCCAGTCCTCTGGAGGCATCCCTACCAGCAAATATTCCATATGGACCCGCTGGGGGAAAAAAGAAATTATTTAGATTACCTAACAATATTTTAGAATGTCTCAAAGGAAAAAGTCAAATAAAAAGAAGTCATGACTCATATTTGGTACACAGCCTTAATTTCAAAACATGCAGATACTAGATAGAAAAATTAGAAGAAATTTCTTGGAAATGTGCCTTTTGACCAAGAAAAGCTTTTCACTGAAAATTTACCTTAAATTTCAATTATGTCAGATACCCCAAAACCTGTATTTAAAGGTGAAAACAGTGAGGCATTAGCAAGAAGAGGAAACTTAAGCACTTAGGTTTGGAACCCAGTTTGCTTAAGGGGAAATGATGCTTTACTGATGGATGTTAATTAATTATGGTATCTAAAAATAATCAACAGAACATCCACTGGATATGTACTATGTAAAGACTCAAGTGAATTGTGGATCTAAAACATTTTTTTTTCCTATCCAGTGCAGGTTGTAACTCTATGAGAGCAGAGACTAACATCTTTGTACCCCTGGTGACTGGTTCAGTGCCCAGCACATGGAGATGTTCAACAAATCTTTGCTGAATGAATGAATCAGAAATATGACCCATTTTCAAAAGAAATACCACCTGACTACCATAATATACTCATAATTATCCAAATAAACTATGAAAAGTCATTAGAGAAAAAAATGTTTTTCATTTGTGGCTTTTGGGAAACAGCAGAAGTGGCTATAAGGAACAGTTCTTCTGATTGACACAAAATGACTAGTATTTTGTCCAAGGAATTAGGAACAACCTTCTCTAGGGGGGAATGGCATAATTTATATGCTGACAGAAGTGAGCCATTCCCAAAGTCTGTCCTTGAAAGCAGCAACTGTCTTGCTCCTCTCCGTATCCTCAATGCCTAGCACAGTGCCTGGCATGAAGTGGGAACAGAATAAATTTCTTCTAAATGAATTAGCTGTAATTCCAAATAAGGAGAAACTCTAGATTTTGACCTTTTACTTTAAATAGATTCATTCATGGTAAGCAAAATCTCCATGCAAATATATAATAAAAAAGACATTTCTGTTGTTTAAAACACACAGTAATAAACAAAATTGAAACAACCTAATTTTCTATATCAAGAAATTGGTTAAATACATTATAGCATATTAATTTAACAGACTAGTACACAGCTATCAAAATGTATTAGGTAACTACACGTATAGACATAGAAACAAGTTCATGATACATTAACTGAAGAAAGCAATTCAGAAGAGTATATAGTATGATTAGCTTTGAATTAAAAAAAAGAATATACATATATGCACATTTTACATGTGTTTGTATATGCTTGAAAAACACCAGGAAGGATACAGACCAAACACTTAATAGTGGCAACATTTCTGGGGAAATGGAGGGGAAATTTTTACTTCATATAACTGATAAAGTCTGGCTACTTAAAAAATGATTTTTATAATAAAAATCTTTTAAAAGTTAATTCTGTCTTCATTTTAGGTTGCAGAGCAGATCTTGAAGATTCTTCTGTTTAAAATATTGTCTTAAGATTATGTGCTAACAAATAAGAGATCCAAAATACATAATTTTACCAAAGAAAAAATTTCTTTCCTGAGTCTGCAGGTTATCAATACACAACAAAGGTAAACTAGAGAAAACAACTTTAAAACCAGAATTAATTATGAGCAACAGAGTGGTCAGTAAGAGAGCTTACTGTCCAGTTAACAGAATAAAGTATTTTCTAATGAGAAGTAAACATGTAGAAAAAACTGGAAATTCCTTGATTTTTAAATTAGAATAACGATTATACCCATATTAATATTTGAAAGCATTTAGGAAATCAAAGGTCACATGTCAGAAAAGTATCTGTACCTTTGAGAGTAGAATTCAAAATTTTGCTTAAATAGCCAAAGATCTAAACATTTATGGACATTAATTTGAATTACAGAAAATGATGCACCATAAAGTTCACTGGATATAAGAAACTCATTCTCTGAAAAGTTTATTGCATTGAACCAGAATAGCATTTAGCAATATATTTTCAAAGTAGTATTACTAGGTATTGATACGTTAACATGAAAATAAAGATAATACTTCCAGTAAAGTATTTTTTTATTCTGCTTTTCCCATTCTTAAATATTTTCCAAATTGCTACTTTATATTAGGTGACTATCGTAATTCTCATTTAATGTTTATTAATTTTCCCACTTAATGGATAGACCTATAATTTATTTAATCATTCTCCTATTAATATAAATTTAAGACTACCATTTTACACCTTTAAATTTGTCTTCTATCTAAGAAAATAGGACACAATTTACAATTAGCCAACATTTATAACTTTCAAACTTTCCTCATTATCTCAACTGACATTCAAAAGGGTATTAAAGGTTTAAGAGAAAGAAATTCAATATTGTTTCTATTTACAGAGTAAAATCTAAGTCATTAAATTGGAGTTAATTATTTTAGAGAAATGTTAACTTTCAAAATTAAGCAAGAATGGTCTCTAGGGAAAAGAAAAGTAGCCTACCTTAAAGAGGTTGTGCCTCTTTTTTTTTTGGCATAACTCCACCTGCTTTGTGGCAATGGCTGTTTTCAGGAGATGGAGGCCATATATATATTGAACTAGTGTGATTTTTTTCTTGAGAAACAGCAACAACAAAATCTATAAACGTTATATAGCCTCTTAATGCTGACTGGACCAATGCTTACAAACTTAAAACAGCAATGAGTCAAACACACAAAAGGAAAAATAAAACTGATCATGGCTTTAAAAACCTACAAATGTAAAATGATAGTTTCAACTTTTTAAAGGATTTTCTAGCAATCTCACTTCTCTCACAGTCTTGCAAAGTGGAAGGGACAGTTTTTGCCCTCCCTACTTGGCAGACGAACAGGAGGAGAGGTATTCACTGACTTGCGTAAAATTATTGACAGAACTGGGAAGCACTATTTCCACTTTTCTAACTATCCCAAACACAGTACACCTTGAGAAAACACACAGAAGACTCACAAACCCAAAGATGGAATGACAACCCTGAAAATTGGAGCATTTCACTAATTACAAAATTTCAGGGGAATGGATATTTTAGAATACCTGTTAAATCAAAATGGAAGAGAATTAACAAAAAAGCTGTAGACACCACGGCTTCTCTTGGTATTTTGTTATAATACCTATCTCCCTGGCCTGCAAAAGTCAATCTACTTCAGGGTACTTCAGAGTACAAACCATAATAGTAAAAATGAGAGAAGAAAAGATGATCATTATAAAAATAGAAAATCCTCCATCTTTGAGTATATAAATATATACCAGTGCATTCTCTAGCAAAATTCTCTGGTAATTTCCCTAAGGAGGCCTCAACATTGAATGAATGTAGAAACAAAACTTCATAAAACATGTTCCTTTTTTGGTTTCAGATGGCTGACTTAGTAACAGTGAATTTGAGTCAATAATAATCCAAGCCTAATTCTAGACAAAATGATGTTTTGTTAACTCTTGAATAGAAAAGAATGATTCAGTGATTAACATATTTCCCCACTTTCTCAACTATATTAAGCTGTCTTCTCCACGTTTATAATTTCCCTCAGGAAGTATTTAATTTCTCGAAAGGTCTTTTTGGTAACACTTTTCTTTACTTTTTCCTGTAAGATGATAAAGAAGACAACATTAAGATTAAGAACTAGAGTTGGAAATGGATGGGTTTCTCAGAGAAAGGAGGCTTTGAGGTCTAATTAAAGTACATTTCTCTGCATATATGAGAAGTCAGCAATACCTCCCCATTCCACTACCCTTTATATAACAAATCTAAATGTTACTGATTCCAATATTTTGATAAATACTCTTGGCTAGCCATAATACTAAAACAACAGAGAGCTACCCAAGGAAAGCGTTTTTAAGTGGTATTAGGTCTCTAGGTTTGGTATACTTTACATATATACTTACGTGAAGGCCAGCTTATACAAACTTAACAGTTTATTTTAACTATTAAGGCTCATCTAGACATTAACATTTCAGTAATAACTAGAGAATTATATTCTGTTGCTTTATTAAAGACTAAAATATAATGCTGATATAAAAATGGATTTACAATTGCAAGAAAATTCTTGCTACAAAAAATGAACAGCAATTATTCAGTCAAAGCAGATTCTCTTAAATGTATTTATGTAACAAATATTCTAAGACATCATTTTAGATATAAACCCTTGTCACAGATACTGTTAAATATACCGAAATGACATTATACTACTTAGAATTTAGATTTCATTAATAGTTCTTAAGAGTTAACACAACTAACGGTACAGATTTTTAAAGTTCAAAAGTCAGTAAGTCTACTAGTCAGTGTACCCTGAAACTGCTTACTTAAATACAATCAGGTAGAATGGGGTGACATATTTTTGAAAAGGCAACATGTGGTCATTGTAAAACAATGTTTTAAAGAATAATTGAACAGAAAATTTCATGAGGAATAAAATATCTAAAATTTGTAACAGATAATTTTGTGATTATTAAGATATTTATGTAGTTATGTTGGTATTTATGGAGAAAATTCTAGAATGAATATTTTAGTTATTTCCATGATATAAAAACTATAGCTCTCAGAGACAAACTTTAATTCATTAAAGTTTATAAACAGCCCAGTTTTCTGGCCTGTTTTGAAAACAGTCTTTTGTGATTATTAAACCAAGTTAAAAAAAATCTAATAATACTTGGTATTGAGTAATTTATTCCAAATGAGATTATAATAAGCCTAGGAACAAATGAAGAAATATGCAAAAGTGACAAAATGAAATCCACCTATTATTTTTTAAAACTTAGGTCTAGGCAGTCCGGAGGCTTTGAGAGAGAAGGCAGCACAGTAAAACTGAGAGCATGCCTCTCAAGAAGCCAAGATGCTGGGTTCTAGAGGCTCCTCCCAATGTGCGACATTGGGCAAATCTTGGAGGCCTTGGTACAAAATGGGGAACATATTTCACCTGCCTGAAGTTGGAGGCCAAACTAGATAATCTCCTGAATACCCTCATTCTAAGAGGG